TATATATTACTAAAATAAACTACTACTTGTACTAATATCCCTACTTCATGGTTTTTCACTTATCACTTAAGTTGATAATCTTATACATCTACACAGACCCTTTCCAAAAAAATTAGGATATCATAGAAAAGTTGTTTAACTTCCATTATTCCATTCAAAAAGTTAATCTTTAATAGATGATAGATTCAGGGCCCACAACTTAACCTATTTCAAGTATTTATTTGTTTATTTTTTACATAATGTGGACTTCCAGCTCATGAAACCAACGAAAACAGGATTTAAAAAAATTAGAATACTGTGGAGAAATCAGCCCACATGTTGCAGGGCATGAATGTTTTAAACTGAGTGTGACACACTAATCATCTACTAAACTCAAAGCACCTGCACATGTTTCCCCAGGTGTTATTAAATTGCTTCAGTTTGGTTTAATTGTCTGTTTGGTTCAATATTGGGAAGACGTCAGACATAACTGGCCAGAAGAGCATCATTGATACCCTCCATAGAATGGGTAAGCCACAAAAGTTCATACTGTAGCTAAGGAGGCTGGCTGTTCAGAGTGCTGTGTCCACGCATATCAATGGAAAGTCTAGTGGAAGGGCAAAATGTGGCAGGAGAAGATGCACCAGCAAAAGAGATGACCATGGGCTTCAGCAGATTATCAAACAGAGAAGATTCCAGAATCTGGCAGAGATCCAGAAAGAGTGGAATGAGGCGGGAGTCACAGCTTCCAAAACCACCACATTCAGACGCATCCGGGAGATGGGCTACTACTGTTGGGTTCCTCTGTCCTCTTTTCCAATGAAAGTAAAGTTTGCCTTTCATTCGGAAATCAAGGTCCAAGGGTTTGGAGAAAGAAGGGTGGGGAACAGAACCCATACTGCTTGAGGTCCAGTGTGAAATATCCACACAGTCCTGATTTGGGGTGAAATGTCAGGTGTGGGTGTTGGTAAAGTCTGCTTTCTTAAATTCAAGGTCACCGCAACAGTCTACCAGAATGTTTTAGAGGACTTCATGATTCCTTCTGCTGAAGATCTGTATGGAGATGCAGATTTCATCTTCCAGCAGGACCTGGCCCCCTGCCCATGCTGCCAGAATCACCAAAACCTGGTTTGATGTCCATGCCACAGTGCTTGACTGGCCAGCCAACTCACCGGACCTAAACCCCATTGAGAATCTATGGGGTATTCTCAAGAGGAAAATGAGGGGCACCAGACCATCAACAAAGAAGAGCTGACAGCAAGCATCAAGGAAATCTGGACTTCCATAACTCCCAGGCAATGCCACAGACTGATTGCTTCAATGCCATGTTGCATTGAGGCAGTGATTACGGCAAAGGGATTCCCAACCAAGTATTGAAGATTGACATATCATTTTGAAAGTACCATATTTTAAGGGCGGCTGTGGCTGAGTGGTTAGAGCAGTCGTCCTCAAATGCGAGAGTTGGGGGTTCGAATCCACCAGCAGTCACATGCCGAAGTGTCCCTGGGCAAGACACTGAACCCCTCATAGCCTCTGATGTGTCCCATCGGTGTTTGAATGTGACAAAGCTCTGATTAGTCTCTTTAGAATGATTTGTTCAATTAGCTTTGTAGAGCTCTAGTAGAGCGCTGTGTGGATGGGTAAATGAGGACACAGATTGTAGTGTAAAGCGCTTTGAGTATCTTGAAATAAGATAGAAAGGCGCTATATAAATGCAGTCCATTTACCATATTTTGATTGATTTGTTGTGATCCTAATTTCTCTTTTTTTTCTGCAAAAACTGAGTAGTGTGGACTGATGTCTTCACAGTATTCTAATTTTTTTAAATCCTATTTTTGTGGGTTTCATGACTTTCTGAGTTTTCTTCAGGGACCTCTCCACTCTAGGTCATGTGATCTCAGAGCTCCATAGTGTGCAAAGAGTTCTGACAGGCGTTCAGAATGAGAAAAATTACGTTTTGGTTAGCAAATTACGTCACAATGGTAACTCAAATGCCAATAATAGTAATAGCACACATCATGACACGTAGTCGGTCATATTGATATAAATTTTGGGGGGTACACGTTCTGTTTTGGGGCGCTTTAAAGTTAACAGAAGAGTAAGATATAAGTTTAAGTTCAATAATATTTATTATTCCCAAGGGGCAATTTGTTTCACGGTCAGTAGCAACATCCATACTAGACAAGACATTAAGACATTAAAATAACAGTACAGTACAGATATCATTGCTATTCATTGAGAAGCCTGATCGCTACAGGGATGAATGAGTTTTCAGTCTGTTCGTCTTACATTTGGGCAGCAGATATCTGCGTCCAAATGGAAGCAACCCGAACTCACCATGGAGCTCGGTTAACTCATCATAAAATTAAGAAAGCTTTAGCAGGTGGATCATAATAGGTTGCTGCCATTCTACAGTATGGTAGACTTAGTCAGTCCCCAATAATAATAATGAGTAGTGTCCAAAAGAAAACTAAAATACTTATATGGTGATTGCTCCAACCCCCTGCTGCCCTTGGGTCAAAATGACCCCTGGAAGACATCACTTAAAAAAAAAAAATGTAGGATCAAACTAGAACACAACCTTCATTTTACAAATTATCCCAGACTTTTGCATTCTACTGTAACTGACGTGTAACATTTTAAGGGTTTCGTTTTTCAGTGATTCAATTTATGTTCAGCTGTTAACTGGTCAAATTGATTATATTTTTACATCTTGTCTTTTTATTCTATGTGCTGCACTCAGACCATGCTGAAGCTGTTGGTGTGCGGCGAGGGTACGATGCGTACAGGTGTCATGATCTCGATACCTCAGTATCCTCTGTATTCAGCTGCACTGGCTGAACTTGGTGCTGTACAAATCAATTATTACCTTAATGAGGAGAAGTGCTGGAGTTTGGACATCACTGAGTTGAAGCGTGCTTTGGATGAGGCCAGACTCTACTGCAACCCCCGAGCTCTGTGCATAATCAACCCTGGAAACCCTACAGGTACGTTACTGCTATTTGTTCAAATGTACCAGCGAGGTCCACTGCTATGATGTTAGGTTGCAATTAATAATCTGCATAAGTAATTGTTTTATTAGAAACACTGGGAGAAAAATACTGAGATAAATGAACTTAATATTGTACAAAGAAAATACATTTGTTGAGACTTAAATGCTTTGTTCTAGACTTTCAACAGTTGCAAGTTTAAATTAGTTTTCTTCTTAAAAAAATTGTTTGTAAAATGTGGGATTTATTCAGTAATCTAATGAACTATAGAACCTGTTAGAAGTGCATCAGCATTATGCCAGTATCTACTCACAAGATCATTTGGACTTCAGTGTTGTTGTTTTTTTCTTACAGTTTGAAAATGTTCAACATTTTTACTTTGCAATCCGCTATTTCTAATCATGAACTGGAGCCATTGTTTTGCTTTATTTAAAAACAAAAAAAAATCTGAATAATAATTTAAAAATAAAAAAAATCAAATGGTTTTACAGAACAAAACACATCTATTTTCCCTCTTTTATGTTCTTTCTGGAATTATAGTAACTTAGATTAAAATCACTTGTGCAAAGATGGAAACATCTTTTAAAAGAGGATAAATATTTTTTGTACTAGAAGATTTCTGCCACTAGACAGCAGCAGAACAGCAGCTCTCATCAGCTGCAGCTGTGTAACAGACCTTTTTGTTATTCTCAGGCCAAGTTCAGTGCAGAGAGTGCATAGAGGATGTGATTCGATTTGCTGCTAAAGAACGTCTCTTCCTCATGGCTGATGAGGTACTGTCTCTGTTGGCATTTATGAGTCCTGCTCAAATTCCTATTTTGTATGCCGCTCTTCAAAATCAAACCTCTACCTGCATTAGTGCCCGCTCAGCCTCTGATTTCTGACCTTCTTTCTCACACTCACAGGTGTACCAGGATAATGTGTACGCTGAAGGTTGCCATTTTCACTCATTTAAGAAGGTTCTGTTTGAGATGGGACCAGAATACTCAGAACATGTTGAACTGGCATCATTCCACTCCACCTCTAAGTGTTACATGGGAGAGTAAGTTTTTCACACTGAGTGAAAATCAGGTTTATGATTACTTAAATATCTTGTGTTGTATTTCTGTTTATGTCTCGGTCAAATGCAAACCTTCTCTCCTCTCAGGTGTGGTTTCCGTGGAGGCTACATGGAGATAATAAACATGGACGATGACGTGAAGGCACAGTTGATGAAGCTGTTATCAGTCCGTATATGTCCTCCTGTTCCAGGACAGGCTCTAATGGACCTTGTGGTCAACCCCCCGCAGCCTGGGGAGCCTTCATATGAACGGTTTATCATGGTAAACAGGATACAGGACGTCCTCAGTATTTACAAATGTTGTGTGATGTGCATTCTTTAGCATATTTACATCATTATTTATTGCTAATTCCATCCATCCATTATCTTCCGCTTATTCTGAAGTCGGGTCGCTGGAACAGCAGCTTGAGCAGAGAGGCCCAGACATCTCTTTCCACAGCCATCTCTTCTAGCTCTTCTTGGGGGACCCCAAGGCATTCCCAGGCCAACCGAGAGATGTAGTCTCTTCATCGTGTCCTGGGTCTTCCCTGGAGTCTCCTCGCAGTTGGACATGCCCGAAGCACCTCCCTAGGGAGGCGCCAAGGGAGCATCCTTACCAGATGCCCAAACCACCTCAACTGGCTCCTCTCGATGTGGAGGAGTAGCTGTTCTACTCTGAGTCTCTCCCAGATAACTGAACTTTTCATCCTATCTCTAAGGGAGAGTCCAGCTATCCTATGGAGGAAACTAATTTCAACCGCCTGTATCAGCATTCTCATTCTTTCGGTCACTACCCAGAGCTCGTGACCATAGACGAGGGTAGGAACATAGACCGATTGGTAAACAGAGAGCTTTGCCTTACAGTTCAGCTCTCTCTTCACCACAACAGACCGATACAAAGTCCGCAATACTGCAGACGCTGCACCAATCCATCTGTCAATCTCGCATTCCATTCTTCCCTCACTCGTGAACAAAACCCCAAGATACTTGAACTCCTCCACTTGAGGCAGAACCTCACCCTCGACCTGAAGAGAGCAATTCACCCTTTTCTGGTTGAGGACCATGGCCTCAGATTTGGAGGTGCTGATTCTCATTCCAGCCTCTTCACACTCTGCTGCGAACCGCTCCAGTGAGAGCTGAAGATCACGGCATGATGACGCTAACAGGACCACATCATCTGCAAAGAGCAGAGATGGAATCCTGAGGCCACCGAACCAGAAACCCTCCGCCCACTGGCTGCACTGAGAAATTCGGTCCATAAAAGTTATGAACAGAATCTGTGACAGTGGGCAGCCCTGGCGGAAACCAACTCCCACCATGAAGGGGTCCGACTTACTACCGGCAATGCAAACCAAACTCTCGCACCACTTGTATAGGGACTGAACAACCTGCAACAATGAGCCCCCAATCCCATACTCATGGAGCAACACCCCCCCCCCCCCCCCCCCAAAAAAAAAAACACACACACACACAGTGTACCCTGGGGAACATGGTCAAATGCCTTCTCCAAGTCCAAGTCCACAAAACACATGTAGATTGGATGGTCAAACTCCCATGACCCTTCGAGGATCCTAGTGAGGGTAAAGATCTGATCCAGTGTTCCACGGCCAGTACAGAACCCACATTGTTCTTCCTGGATCTGAGGTTTGACCAATGATCAGACTCTCTTCTCCAGTACCCCTGAATAGATCTTACCAGAGAGGTTGAGGGTGACACCCCTATAATTGGAGCATACCCTCCAGTCCCCCTTTTTGTAGAGGGGAACCATCATCCCAGTCTGCCAATCCAGTGGCACTGCCCCCAGTTTCCACACAACGTTGCAAAGGCGTGTCAACCAAGACAGCCTCCAACATCCAGAGCCTTAAGGAAATCAGGGTGAATCTCATCCACTCCTGAGCCCTTCCACCTCTGAACTCTTTAACTACCTCGGTGACCTCAGCCACAGTTATGGATGGACCATCCCCAAAGTCCCTGGACTCGGCTTCTTCCATGGAAGACGTGCTGGTGGAATTGCGAAGGTCTGAGAAGTATTCCTTCCACCTCCTGACAACATCACTGGTTGAGGTCAACAGCACCACACCTTCACTGAACACAGTGTTAGTAAAGTGCTGCTTTCCCCTCCTCATCCGCCTGATGGTTCTCCTCAGAGCCAACCGAGAGTCTCTATCCAAGGCTTCACCAAAACTCCTCCCACATCTGAGCTTTTGCCTCAGCAAACAGCCAAGGCTGTGAACCGCTTGGCCCTCCAGTACTCCTCAGCTGCCTCTGGAGTCCCACAGGCCAACAAGGCCCGATAGGACTCCTTCTTCAGCTTGACAGCCTCCCTGACCTGGGGTGTCTACCACTGAGTTTGTGCATGGCCACCGCGAGAAGCACCAACAACCTTGGGGCCACAGTACAAGGCAGCTTTAATTATCTCGGTGACTGAGAATCTGCATCAACTCAACATAGTATTAACACACGGACTCCTGCCATTAGAATTTAATAATAATTAAAAAAATCCAGCAACATCTGTATATTTTAAATAATACATTTTCTCTCTCGTTCTTCCAGGAACGTACAGCCACATTAAGCACCTTGGCAGAGAAGGCAAAGCTTACAGAGCAGGTTCTGAACACTGTGCAGGGCATCAGCTGCAACCCTGTGCAGGGTGCGATGTACTCCTTTCCTTCTATAACCATCCCTGAAAAGGCCATCCAAGAAGCCATGGTTAGTCCTGAACTTTCTCTGTCCCAATTATTAAAGTTTCATTGCATTGTTGTCTTAAGGTAATTAAACTGATTAGGAACAGCTAAAAATTTGAAGTAATTTTTCCCAACATACTTAAATCTACCAGTCATTCTTTAGATGTACTTGTTTTTTTTACTCTGTGCCCTCATCAGCCGTCAGTGTACTAATACAATTGTAATTAGAGCTGCCATTAAAAATCATCAATGGAAGTAGAGCTCTAAGATTGAATAATAAAACTTGCCCATGGTGCTGTACATCCACCACACTGTCTGTTAAAGAGAGCCGATGGTTTCCAGTAGCTGGCAGTAGCAGTTCTGTCTTACTGCTCTCTGCTCTCTGCTTCTCTGTCTCTCTGCTCTCTTGGAATTAATTTACTGGCATATTTCTAAGGCTGAGGTTAAAGTGTTTTACAGTTTTTTTTTATCCAAACATATTGGAATTAATCTGTAGAACTGGAGCACAAAAACTTGGTAAAAAGGACCACTGAAGTGTAGAAAGAAAACTTATTAATACAGTAAAATTCTGGGAAGTGTTGATCAGAGCTATGATTAATGAACTGATCCATTTTTATGTGGTGAGTGCAGCATTGAACTTTGGCTTCAAATGGAGACTAAAGTGAGCATTTTGAACTAAAAATGGGTCTACTGTACTTTCTGGTCTATAAGCTGCAACTGTTTTCACAGGCTTTGAACCCCACGGCTTCTATAACGCTGCAGCTAATTTATGGACTTTTTTTTTTTGGACGAGATAAACTTCCTGCTGCCAAAAACATTTAGTTTCGTCACATCTGGGTCCTCACATAGCTGCCCAGTACATGTTTCTCTTGAGGGGTGGGTCCTTGTGACTTTATTTTACTGTTTAACACCGACAGACAGGGTGGAGGAGGAGGGGGAATCCCCCCTCCATGGAGCAATTGCTCTGCAGAGCACATGCCCCCTGGAGGGGGATTCCTCCTCCCCTCCCTGCTGACTACCTCATTGATTCATTGTGGTTGATTGTCGGTCACATGGCCTCAGGGAGGGATTATAGGTAAAATTTATATTCATTGTTAATAATTTTGGTTAGCTGTTTAGCATTGTTCTGTTAGTCATTAGTCTGTTCTTCTTAGCCTAGTTTATGTGTTAATTATGGTATGATATGGTAATTATGTGTTAGCTTGGATAAGGCCATTCAGTAGTAGTAGAGTACCCAGTTGTAGTTGTGTTTTTTATTTTGTAGTTGTGGTTTAAACTTCAGGGCAACCGTAGTAATCATGAGTGAGAGCGGTACTGTCATTCCCCAATCTGTTACGGAAGCCGATCCGTAGTGTTGCTCATTTGCGCATGCACTAAAAGGAATACTTCCAGGTCACATGGATCGCCATTGAATATGCTAGATTAAGGGAAATGTACTTGTATAATTCCGTTTATGAATGAGAACTGTCTTAATTTACATAGAAAAGTATGTGCTCTATCTCCGCCGGTTTTCTTGTTGCTAATTTACACCACTCGCATTTCCGTTAAATTCATCGACATATTTACGTCATGGTTAAAATGATATGCAGCTTCATCACTGAGCGGTGCTGTTTCACCATGGAAACAATTCATTCTGCATCTTGTAGAGTTTTACTCATTCAGCCCTGGCTGGGGGTCAGATCTAATGCGTTGCATATCATCTTAACCAATGATTGGTAACGGAAATACGATTGACGTAACTTCGCTACTTGAAGATTGGCGGAGATGGAGCACATATTTTCTAAGTACATTAAGACAGTTTTTATTCATAAACAACGGTGATCCGTCCGAACCGGAAGTTCACTACGGATCGTGCTTCCGTAGTAGATTGGGGAATGACAGGTATTTATCATGAACAGTGTGGGATTCACTTAGTTTGTGTTGAAAAGAAAAATAAAGTATGTAAAACGCCATCTGGTGGTTGCATCTTGATCTACAACAAGACCTGTCCATTTCTCTCAGTAGCTGTGTGCTGCCGCTCATGTTACAACAAGAATACCTGCAGCTTATACACAAGCGTGGCTTATTTTTATTTATTTTTTAATATTTTTATTTGGTGTGTGCAGCTTGTATTCAGGTGCGCTCTATAGACCAACAATTAGGGTAATTCATCAGAATTCTTTTTATTTAAAAAAAAAAAATCTTTATACTAAATTTAAGTCAAACCAGTGAACACAGTTTGGATGAATGCTAATTATAATGTGGCAAAAATCTGAAAAGCTCTTGAAAGCAATATTCACTTGTAAATTGGAAATGCATTCCCACTTATCAAATAGTAAACTCAAACATGTGGATTGTCAAGCTTCATTTATAGAAACTTTTCTTGTTTTGTTAGGAGACGAAACAGCAGCCAGACATGTTTTATTGCATGAAGATGCTGGAAGAGACGGGAATCTGCCTCGTACCTGGAAGCGGGTTTGGTCAGAAGGATGGCACCTACCACTTCAGGTACAGGACACTTTTCTAGACTTCAGTTATGGTTGTGACATTTATGAAATATTAGTTTAGTCATCATTTCAACATTAGGTGCTTTATTGCTTTGCTATTTTTAAACAATGTCAGTAATGTTGCATATAAATAAGATACAAAAGGGAGGACAATGTTCTTAAAAAATGTTCTTAACATAATTTCTTCCAGTGTAGAAACAGAAAAATCAATGAACAAAATGAGAAGAGTTGTATGGCTGTACAGTCATACTAACTGGGTTTTATGTAGACAAATATGTAGAGGAGGAAGAGTTGGCAATAATTCATAAACTTTCAGCTCTGCTAAAATAAGGAATGACAAAAAGCAACAAGCTTACTGCAGTTCAAAGGTCGTCAAATGTTGAGGCAACGCCTGTTCCAAACTTTTAGAAACACATTAACCCCACCTGTTACACCTGTTCCAACCTCCAGTTAAACATTATAAAATGTTGCTCCTCTTCCTCTTTTCCACCCAGAATGACCATCTTGCCACCGACAGAGAAGCTGAAGGTCCTGCTGAACAGAGTCCAGGAGTTCCACCAGAAATTCACGCAGCAGTACTCTTAAAGGTCTCTCTCGCACAAGGACCTGAAGCCAACTCGCAACAAAAAGCAAAAGTCAATAAAAGTCTATCCGTTTCCAATAAGTGCCTTCTCTGCGATGTGGTTGGACCTTTTAGAGCAGTCAGTGTGGACAATTTGGACCTCCTTCATTGTAGAGTGACAAACCACAAAACAAAACTGGAATGAAACGTTTTGATGAAAAAAAAACCAAGTGTTACTGTATTATCTGTGATGTAAGGATGTATGTACTCTGAAAACTGATCATGTGAAGTTAACAAGAAAACAAAGCTGATGCTGATTATAAACTTAAAACGTCTTTGATTAATATACAAAGTTCCTGCAGACCACACACACTTTGTCAGGTATTCATAAATGCACCAATTTGTTTTACACTTAACATTTACTTTTAACTTTAGAATTAGAAGAACATGGTTTTTACTTTAAAACATCTTTGAAAGCCATCTTTACGGCATTAGACTTTGCAACACATTTTTTTTATTGTTTATATAAAGTTGTAGTTTTTAAAACTCCTGTTAGTGTCATTTTAACTTTATTTAATTTTAGATGATAAATGATACCAATTAAGCAGATTATTTCTAGCATTATTGTCATTCTTTAAGTTGAATGTTGACCCATATGTTTGTCATTGCCCACCTGTTTTATTGTAAATAATAAAGCTGAAAGAAACAGAAAGCTGATGGGTAAATATTCATGTGACGGTCTAATGTTTTGAATACCACCGCTGCCTTTTTAGTTAATAAAAAAATTAAATAAAACCAATAAACTTGGCCCTAGGCAGCACGGTGGCGCAACTGGTAGAGCTGCTGCCTCTCAGCAAGCAGGTCCTTGGTTCAAACCCCGGTCCAGGGGCCTTTCTGGGTGGAGTTTGCATATTCTCTCCGTGCATGCGTGGGTTTTCTCCGGGTACTCCGGTTTCCTCCCACAGTCCAAAAACATGCATGTTAGGCTGATTGGTAACTCTAAATTGTCCCTAGGTGTGAGTGAGAGAGTGAATGGTTGTTTGTCTCGTTTGTCTCTATGTGGCCCTGTGATGGACTTGCGACCCGTCCAGGGTGTACCCCGCCCCTCGCACAGTGATTGCTGGACATGGGCACCAGCGACCCCCATGACCCAAAATGGAATAAGCGGGTAAAGAAAATGGATGGATGGATGGAACTTGGCCCTGCTGAACGAGACACAGAGCTTCTGCTGTTCAGCCCAAATAAAGCTTGTTAGATAAGAGCCTGTGGTGTAAATATTGGAAAACTATTAAAATTGCTTTAAAAATTTGATTTGTTAAGCACGTCTGATTTTTACATTTTCATCACTTTTTTTTTTAGAACTGTTACAGGTTAAAAGCTCAAAAACACTATTATTCTGCTTTCAGCGTCAGTGTAAGTTATAAAAAAAAAACTATTGGGTTCATTAATGAATTCTCAGTTTAGACCATCTTTATCCCAAATAATTCTGACATATATTCTGCCTTTCAATGTGTAGGTTTTAAAGTATTAAAAAGTTTATTCCAACAGAAAATTAATTATTGTAGAAAAACCAAATGTATGTTGGGATTTTTATCCTATAAAATGTGAAACTTTTTAAAAATTACTACTCAAATTTTCCAGTTGCTGATGATGCTGATATGTGTCAGAAAATCCAAATGAAAATTGATTCTTCATGTAAAGAAAAGTTTTGTCCATGATCGCCCACCACCAAAGGCGAAAAAGCATGTTGGCAAAATATCTCATCTCATCTTGGCAAACGCATAATTATTTAGTCAATATTAGCGCTATAGAACTAAAATGTTGAGAGTCCTGTCCAAATTATATTCTGACCATGGAAGAGCTGGTTTTAAAACTGCCATTAAATATTGGAGTCAACTCTGTCTGTTAGCAAAATATTTCATCAAACTAAACTGATTTTAATCTCAAAGTGATCATAGAATGCATGTTTACAACCCAGTTCAAGATGACTGCCAGTCAGCTGACCTCAGCCAACACAAAATAACTAACCCAACCAATTTTACACATGTTGAGCTGCAAATGGTGGTAGTGGCTGAGCATAATCTTGTAACACATAATCCAAGCACTACACATATCTGAAGTTTGATTCCAACTTCGGCAGCACTTTTCTTGTGATTAAATCAAACCTTTTTAAAACAACACTGAGATGAGTTTACACTATTTTCTGTAATGTTTATTTTGCAGATATAAAGTACATATAATATATCCAGTATAATACAGTAATAATATAAAAACTAGTAATATTGAAATAAGATGTAAACTTATGAACAGGATAGTAATAACTGAGGCATATTTAGACTTTGATTTATTATGTGTTAAAAGGGGAATATTGTCATGTTAAGTGGCAAAGAATTAAATAACTAATCTAAATAAATCTAAAGTAAACTGATGTAATGATGATGCAACCAAAGCCACCAGTGAGCAAAATGAAAACTTCAGTCCTACTGGGGGTTACGGTAATCTCTCAGCCTATAACAATCGGTTATGGGCTGGGGGAGCTTCAGTGAGGTGGATACCTGAGTGAACAGCATGGATTATTTATTTGAAATAATTGAGTGCGAACTTAACCAAACCTTTGGTCCAGCTCCTCGGCGGTCACTGAGTGGGAGAGGGTCTCAGCTCATGTTCAAAGTCACAGGCACCACAGCGGCACAGGGGCGGGGTACACCCTGGACAGGTCTCCAGTCCATCACAGGGACACATAGAGACAAATGAGACAAACAACCATTCACTCTCTCACTCACACCTAGAGACAGTTTGAGAGTTACCAATCAGTCTAACATGCATGTTTTTGGTTTGTGGGAGGAAACTGGAGTACCTGGAGAAAACCCACGCATGCACGGAGAGAACATGCAAACTCCACCCAGAAAGGTCCCTGGACCGGGATTTGAACCAGGGACCTGCTCGCTGAGAGGCAGCAGCTCTACCGGTTGTGCCACCGTGCTGCCTGTAGAGCAGTATCCCCTTGTTCTTTTCAAATTGTGATAATTATTGCGTTTTATTTGGTTTGTTTTATAATATTCTTCAATTTGTTTTGAAAACGCGTGTAAAAGATAGCAATTAATGTTTACGTTTTTACCATCATTATTTTATGTTCAAAATTATTTGTTTAACACAGGAGTTCTCATCCTATTGGTAAGTTTCCATACCGATACAAAACAGCAAGTCTGGGCAGAGTTCAAAGGTTGCACAGAGGCCAGACACGGGAGGCGTGCACGGGTCAGTAGGATTAGGATTATATACTCAAAAGAGACCATTATTTCATGATGACATCCCGTGACTTAACCACTTACCTTCTTCCAACATCTTTCAGTCAGGTCATCTGGTGGACAGTTTCTTTTTTTGTGTTGAAACGTTTCGCCTTCGATCCGGAAGGCTTCATCAGTCAAGGAAACACACAACACAAAACAACACAAAAAAAAACAAACCTGTCCAGATGACCTGACTGAACAATGTTGGATTGTAATCCTGGATTAATGAGCATGGACTTTGTCACTTACCTTCTTCTTCTTTCGGTTTTTCTCTTTTCAGGGGTCACCACAGCGAGTCATCCTCCTCCATCTCACTCTGTCCTCACTCCAACTACCTCCATGTCCTCTCTAACTGCATCCATATATTTCCTCTTTGTCTTTTTCCTGTCAGCTGCATTTCTAACATCCTTCTACCAATATACCCACTGTCCCTCCTATGGACATGTCCAAACCATCTCAGTCTGGTCTCTCTAACTTTATCTCCCAGTTGTTCAACCTGTGCTGTACCTCTGATGATCTCATTTCTAATCTTATCCATCCTCGCCACTCCTGAGGAGAACCTCAACATCTTCATTTCTGCCACTTCCAGTTCTGTCTCCTGTCCATACAACAAAGCTGGTCTCACCACTTTCTTGTAAAAATGTCCTTTGACCTTTGCTGACACCCTTTAGTCATAAATCACTCCTGAAACTTTTCTCCACCCACTCCATCCTGCCTGGACTCTCTTTTTCACCTCTTTACCACACTCCCCATTTTTTTGGACAGTGGACCCCAAGTACTTGAAGTCCTGCACCTTTGTGACCAACAAGTAGGAGCTTGTTGAGGACATGGAGGCACAGTGAGGTGCCGTCAGCTGCAGTGTGGTGCAGAGAATCCCCTACATGGAATCCTTTCTGCTGGAAATAACCTCAAATAAATGCCTGCTGACAATAAAATACCATTTATACATTTAAACTTGCACATATGTGACGGGTCACGTTGAACTGAGGATTCAGTCACAAATTATTATGTCAGAGTCAGAGTTTCTTTATTGTCATTCGCACCTCATGTGGTACATGTGGTGGAGCGAAATTATGTACACAAGGTCCCAGTTACATCCAACAATAAAATGTATAATAAAAACAGTAATAACATCTAAGATATGAACTAAGAAAAACATCAACTAAATATACACTAAGCACTCATAACATAAAAACATTGAACATCAGCACAAACATGAACATGAGTCTGTGAGCAGATGTGCACGCATGAACACATCAACATTTAAACAGATCAGCAGCAACATGAAACAGATCAGCAGCAACATGATATGGTTTTTCACAGTGATTATTCTAGTTAGAGATTCATGAGTCTAACAGCCTCAGGGTAGAAGCTGTTCCTCAGTCTAGTGGTTCTACACTTAATGCTCCTTAACCTCCTTCCTGAGGGGAGTGGGGCAAAAAGTGTGTGTGCTGGGTGAGTGGGGTCCTTCATGATGCAGGTGTGGCGATAAGGCATTGGTTGAAGATATCACAATATTTGTATTTTGTGAAAATATGAGTAAATACCTTACCCAAGGTTCCCCTTGGATGAAATGTTCTAAATAAAATCCTAAAAAATGTTTCTTGGTCACTTTCTGAGCAGTACCAACAAATATGATTTTGAGTAGAATTGTACATTTTCAATACTTCTCCTAATATTTTTCCAGTCAAGAAATCTCGATATCCAAATGTGGCTTGAGGTTTCCTCTTTCA